TTAAAGTAAATGTACTTCCTTACATCACGACGCTAAAGTAGTTTTCCGATCTACAGATTTTCTCCTATTTGTTCTACGTCAGAAAACTAAAAAAGAATCATCGATCATACGTTATTCTGTCACTGTAGAATGACAGCGAAACCACGAGACGGTCGTTACACAATCCCGAAATGAGACCTTTGGATGGGTCATCTAAGGTCCCGGGTTAATCGCCTTTTCACCTTTTTATCCACGTAGTAACAAAATGATTGTGTCTGCCATTGCTCGAAACTTGTTTATTCAATTCCCGCAAAAAAAGAAACGAGCACGCGTGGGCAGATACGTAAACAGATACCTGTTAAGTTCAGTATGCAACGGGAATATACAGCGGCGGTCAAGAGCGAACGTACGGTTCGCACTTTTCAACGATTGTTAACGTCTGTATAGTTTGATACGGGACTTTCGAAATTACAAATTAGCAATGCGCTCATTTATTTCTGCACTAATTCTGCCTCTAACGATTACTGGTTACTGGCTCACGTTGTTGCATTTTATTAATCGGCTTGTTCCACGCAACAGATAACGTTCACTGCCCCAAATTACAAGTTTCCCTATCATTAAATAGAAGTCTCATGATTTTTACTGCTCGGAGCCACTGTGGAAATAAAATTCACAGAAACTATCCAAGTATCGTCTACGAATATTATAGAAGCGTGTTAAGGATGTATTGGCTATACAATCAACCCCAAAAGTTTATGCNTGATTTCTTTTTAATTATGGAAAATGCATTCTTCTAAAGTACATAAACTTTTGGGATTGATTGTATGTATAGCCAATACATCCTTAAGTTTCCACTGACAAGTTTCCACCAACTTTGGAACTGATGATATTATAAATATATTAAAAATAAAGTGAGCGGGTTAAATCTCTAAAATAATATCGATAACGGTGTGGGAAAAACACGACAATGCGTTATCGAGGAAGACGTGCAGAAAATCGTACTTTATCGCAAACAAAAAAAACATTCAAATTAAATGCAAGAATCAGGTTTCTCTACAAATCAAAGATTGCCCACTATTTTACAACTCAACATAAAATAGTAACGAGAGACGTGGTAAGATTTCTATTCCAAATATTGAAGCACTTTTAACTTCGATATAACTGATAGCAAATTGACAATAGGATTGCCACTGAAATCTAAGCGAAGAGAACGGGAAAATAGGAAGAGGAAGAGAGAGAGCTCGACTACGTATATCCGCAGGGGTGCGGTGAACACATTTGTGTGCCGTGAAAATTCAAACGGCGAGACGGTCTTCCGGACGAGCGAAAAACGCTTTCCCACCGCGTTTTGTTGAAACGCGTGTGAAAACTGATTTTCACACCATCTCCCTATTCGAACTAATAGAGAACAAGCTTTTCGGAAACAAAAAAAAAGACGACTGGTACATAATTGGATAAGAATCTCGACGATCTTGTGACGGAGAGTCAGTGGCGATGAGGCGTGCTGTAGGACGGCGTTACATGCGAGCGAGGCGTTACGACGATAAATCCGATTCACGCACTATCGACGCGTTACCTAATAGCCGTGGTACATACGTACATACGTGGACGGTGGATACACAGGCGACGTCACGTGCCCGAGACGAGGCACCTGCGCCTCACGCAAAGCAAAAATAAAGGTGCGCGAAACGAAGTGTAGCAATTGCCACGGGCTGGCACACGATTGCCCGCGTCTATGTATATGTATAGACGCGGAATCACGCTCTATCCTGCAACGGCATTTTATCTCTTCAAAAATGTACGTGTTTGTAACAAACTTTGAACAAAGTGCATCCATTTAACCCAGACTAAATACGTTAAAACTCCAATTCCGGATGATCAAGGGATCTCAATCCTTTTACCATCGACCGGTCCGGACTGAATTTGATACAGACAATGGATGGCTTTGTAGCTACGGCACGTGGTTCATAACCAGCGGACTGTACGTTGTACGTACGCGCAATGCGTTACCTAAGAACGCGTAGACGCGCAATTTCAACCGCCCCGTCAGCCCCGCCGCGGCTGCCGCCGCCTCCGCCCCGACGCGGACCATCTATGAAAAACAACGTGCACGTGGACGCGCATGCAACGTTGGTCGGATCGATCTGCAAACAACGGCAGACAATAATCGCGTTTATCACGCGGGAAAATACCCGGTGAGCAACCGTGCGCCTCGCCGAGGGTCACCGCGAAAACCCGGGGATCCGTAATGAAGTGTATATCAAGGCAGCCGGCTGCTGGACTCACACTCTCTCTCTCTTTCCATCTCTATCTCCCTGTATTCTATCTTCCTTTTTTTTCCCTTTTTCGATGCAATTTCTCCGAGTGCTACGCGCCGCGCCGCGTCGCGTCGCGACGCAACGCCCGCCATCGTTTCATTCTGTTACAGCGATACACTCGACAGTGCGTGGCTTTTCCTGGATGGCAACGCGACGATCGCGTTTCCCGGTGACAGGGAAAAGCTGTGGACATAATGGGCAAGCGTGGAATTACAGATGTTTGATCACACGTTTCGATCACGTGTACGTAACGTCCAGTTTTGGCAATCGTAGTCTGAATTGTTTACTGTAGATTTTCAACCATGCCCACGATTGATCCAGGCAGAATAGAAATCACAGAAGAAATGCTACGATCTGATCAAATTAACTTGAACACGCCTTCCAACAAAACACAGTTTCATGCACTCAACGTCTTCGACTGTTCATGAAAAGATTTTATAAATCATGGTTGAATCATCGATACTCCGTATAGTTTCGCTCGGTTCTGCGTCTGTGCGCCTACGCTGCCTGTGAACGTGCACACCGACGCGCGGTGACGGCGATGACGATGATCGATAAAGGAAAAACTTGCGTGATTCCGCGGAAATCGCAACAAAGTATGTAATTCCATTCACATTCGCTCGAGAGCGTAGGTGTATCGAATGTACTCCGATACATGACGCGGCCATAACTCACGTGCGCGCGGCGGAATAAAAAGTGTGAAAAAAAAAGTCGAAACCCCGGCACGTGTAACTGTATAAAGTTCCGAAACAATGCATAATTTATACTAAACGGCCCACGAGATTGTTAAACGGCGCAAAAAATGAATGCAATTATATTTGACATTGCTCCCGATAGAACGTGCAACGCATTTCTCATTCTACTGACGTGCCACCTTAAAAAGTCTGTCCTTGTAAAAGGTGTTTCAAATGCAAAAGAAAAAAAATAATTATGCAAGATTCCTCAGCTTTTACACGTTTCCCAAGCTACTGTAATTGCTAATAGTGATTTTCATTTTTAATTTACTTCCACGTGCGAACTTTCGACTGCCAGTATATAAATATAATACGAGAACCGGACAAAGAAGAGGCTTGGGAAAAAAAAAGGTATCGATTACGTGCGGCCTTCTTGCATTGCGTGAAGAAAACCGTGTATTGACATTGAGGCAATTCAATTTACGCGATGGATTTGCGTTCGAAAGCGAGTCGCGGCAGCGACTAGCCGTAAATTCCGGTTCTTACGGCCGCGATCACGAGCTATCAGCTCGGGAATAATTTATCGGCGACGATCGCATTAAAGTAGCTACAATGAAATTATTTCCTCGTGGCGGTCGACGCGCGCGGCTCTGTGTGGGTGTCCACGTGTGCGTAATGTACGTAGACACGCGTGATCTCTCGCGAGGCTGCCGCAGCGAGGAGAGCCAACACGCGCGCAACCGCGAGCTTTAAGCTCTGTCCTCACCGAATCTTCTCAAACAGAGCAAACATCTAATTATGAGAATAATTAGAAATTAAGTATGCATCATCAACTATAGTTCTCCTATCCTTTATCGATTCTGAAGAACAAATTATTTAATTACATCGAGTGTCTGTCATGATAGGCGGATATTACTTGTCTCTATTTATCCAAGTATTTTTTTATCAAACGAAAGCAAAGAGCGGACAGCAGCTTTTCTTGTTCCTGCCGGTACCAAGAATGCGAGCAATCTTTTGAGGTAAGACAGAAGAAGGAAAAGGAAAAAGAAGAGATCGACGTTGTTAGCTCGGTGAGGACGGAGCTTTACGGATGTAGCCGACAGTCGGACGCAATTAGTATTACCTAAGAATCTATATAGTCTACTCGTGACAACTATATTGCAACGAAAAGTAAGTGCGCGTGCACGCGTGGAACTTGTCCGATGTAGCAATGGCATTCCGTGCCACCTGCTACCGCACGCGTGTTTACTTTTTCTAATTCAGAGTTTCGCACGTGTAGCGGATCTCGGAAGGCCGCTTTACTCTGTTCAGCGATTGTTCAAACGCAACGCAACATTCTGCGACCCGACAATGCTTCGTATCGATTGTCCTTAACAACCCTGGCATCGATTGTTCTTTTTCTCATACTTAAAAAATATAGGAAGGGTCGGAGGAGGCTTCACATATAAAATGCGTAGATAGCTACTTTCATATTATAGCCTGCGTACTTTTATATGTACTGGTTAACCTGACGTTCTTCTCGAGTCCTTTTTTAACCCCTTAAGACCTACGTCTCAAGTACGGATCATTTGCGTTTACGCACAGAACAAAAATTGATTTTGCTTTATTCATACCTTAACGACTAGATAAACACGTTCGTACCTAACACTTTCACAGTCTGATAAAACAACGAAAAAAACTCATCGACTTCTATGTAATCTCGAGAGTCTTAGAAGTGCCATAAGTAAATAAGAAGTACCGTGTGTAAAAAAGAGATTATTTAATGATTTATCAAAACATTGCGTATGAATTCATTGTTCGATGCAATTCCTTGAATATATTTTGACAAATTCAAATGCGTTCTTACCAGGTTACACAATGAACTCAATGGGCAATAGATAATTCATATACGGTAGACCTAAATCGAAAAAGGGTAACAAGTGTTTGTTCTCAGTTTGTCATGAATGTCCACATTTTGTTTACATATCAAATCATTGTATATTCTTTATGTTATGTGTAATTCTAGCAATAAAATGTATAATACACTAACCTGAATGCATCCATCTTCATCTTACTCGCCGCACGCATGCACTCCATCTTTGTCTCGCTCCCGCGGCCGGCCTGCTCCCAACTTCACTCGTTCGCTCGCTCGCTCCCACATTCACCCTCTCTCGCTCTCGTTCTACGTAAATTCGTGCAAACGCCAATCTACGGCGTACGAAATTTCTAATTTCGAGGTCGCGGCAGGCAGCGCCGGTAAGAGTACCGAGTCCGAAATAATTACCTTATTTACTCCGCGCTGCGTAAGACGTCAAATGCGTTTGATATTCTTGCACGCGCACCGCTCGTTCCCTCCACGCCGCCGGCCACCCACTAGCGTCCTCCTCCCGTCCTCGAACAAGAGTTTTTTTGGTCCAACGACGCCTATGGCTCTGCGAATCGCGAGATCTGCGAGGGAAACGTGCGCCGTCTCTGTATACGTGTGGCTGTGCGCGTGAGCGTTTCACACCTGACTACTACGTTGGTCAGGCGAGCGTCCGTGATCAGGTTAGATCGACACGAAATCGTGGTATCGCCGTGAAATCTGCGCGTAAAATCGTCACGCGTGCCGATACGATTTATCACGGGCGAATCGCGCGGATGGGCGGCGTCGAATCGATTTATTTAGTCGGTAAAGTCTGCGCGGCGAACACGGTAGGTTAGTTGACCGCGGGGCCGAGCGAGCGCTGAGCTGACAGTAGGCCGGCGACGTCACAGTGGGCCGGTTGAGCCTTCCTTCGTTCGATTCAGGCAGGCTCTTCTATTCATTTTACATGTAGCAAGGTAAATATTTCTTACTGCGAGACAGTGCCCATAAAACAACGTCGCGTAACGAGATACGTGCGGCCGACGAGTGCGTGAAATCCGTTCTACGATCATATATGCTTGTGATATGACACACGCGCGTTTCTCGTTTCTTATTTCCTTCGCACGTTCCCTTCTTTCCTATCGTTGAACGATAGTAAACGCGGATGTGAAAAAAAAACAAAAAGCAAGTTTCGTGCCTCTCGTATGTTTTACGTTCGTCGCTGGCTGCTACTGTTGTTGTTGTCGTCGTCGCCGCTGCTGCTGTTCGCCGTCGAAATCATCCCCCTCGGGTCCGATGGAGAAACGCGAGAGACCGAATGGACAGTGGGATTGATAGAGAACCGGGAGAACCGAAGAGAACAGGACACACGGAACACGCACCTCGTACTCGCGACACGATCGCGGCGGTGCACGAGATTCATCGGATCATCCAGCGATAACAACGTCCGTATTCTTCTCGGTACTGTCATCCGAACAGCGCGCCCGAGACACGTGAAATCGCACGGTTGACAGTTGAAACCGTGGCGCCGGACGGTGACGATCCCCCGTGTACCTACAATCGTTCCCTCGTCTCGAGCTGTTGACCTTGTGCTGTTTAACTTTTGGCAACGCGTCTTCGAGTGCGTGTAGTTCCCCCCCGTGGCCCACCGTCCCCGTGTACGTCTCGCCGCGACTCGAAGTGACACGCACGTGAATCGAGATCCTATTCTGACGTGAGAAAATTTCGCTACGACACGTGACAAGTGAGGAAGTGACGGTAGCACGACCCCGCCATAGTGCGGTTAATTGTAAAACGTGATGTCGAATGAGTCGACGGCGGGAGACGGGAAAACGCGCGCTCGGACGCGGACAAAAGTAAACAAAAGTTAAACACACTGAGCGACACCGGTCGGTCGATAGGCCATCGATTAAAACCGACGCTGCGGAGCGTTTGACGTAGAGGAAGATTCCCGTGGAATTTCGTGGACGCTGGCTCGGGACGCAGTGCGATGATCGGAGAGCATGTACGCGCGTAAATCGGGGGAGCGCGCCGAACACCGATCGGACACGCGTCCACGCTGGTTGACAGCCGCGGACGTGCCAGCGGTGACGGGCTCCGAAAATGTTGATGTCAAACGCGCGCCGAGTGGGTCTACGTGGATCAAACGGGAAAGAGATAAAGAGAGTATGAAAAGAACGCGGGAGAGACGATTTCGTCTCTGTTGGTGTTGAGAGTGCGAGGAGTGCGTGTTCCGTGCGAGCCGGCAACGGCGGTACCAAAATATCACACGTGCGCGTCGGGAGAGTAACGAGATTTTTGGAGGACGACGAGGTGGGCGATCGGTGACGAGCATCGATTTCCTGGGTGAGCGACTAAAAACAAAAAGAAATGAATCGAGGAATCGAATAATTCGTCTGTCAGTCTGTCGATCCGTTCGCGGTATCTTTCTCGTAGACGTGTTCCTTGACAGATTCCTCTGATTCTTCTTTACATTCTATGCGAGATCGTTAACCGACGACAAAGATTGATCAACGTCCGCTGTTAGGGAAATTAGTTTCAAATTCTTTACACTGTTATTACCATAATTTACTCTAACATATTTGTTAGTTGAGAATAGTCCAATTTATGCTTTTATAATGATTTACGATTCCCTGCCAAATTTATGCACTTTCCTTGAGTGATAGCGCTTATCTAATAAATGACAGACCAGCTGAGGCAGTACAGGTATCGAAAACTATATATTCATCCTTCATATACGTTCTAGTGTAATATTTATAAACAAGGTATAAATTTACAGAAATTGTTAATTGTTAAATAGACAAAAAGCTTTCTACCATACAATTTTTGTACGACTACGTCAGGAAATTAATTTCTGTACATTCATTATAGAGAAAAATCCAACCATGAGGAAATGAACTACTGACAATCATACTTATTAAACTGTGTCACTCTCGTTGCGAGTGGATGATGTATAAAAAAGTTTTCCGACGTTAGGGAGGCGAACGACGAACCGGGAATCGGTGATCCTGAATGCAGTAACTATGGAGGAAGCGTAGAATTAATTAGGGCGGGAGCGTGGGTAAACCTCTTTCAGTCATACGGCCCTGCATGCTAAACAGCATAGACGTTTGACGTTTCGTGAAGGTCGCGTGCTCTATCGCTATCCTCCGCCAACCGTTTCTCTCTATCTACCGCGTACACTATCGCTCATAAGTATCCGGACACTTTTAACTCTTTGCACCCAGAATGCCAATTGCGCTGGCAGAGACTTTGACAAGTTTCCTGAATCACTAGATTGACGTTCACAAGATCAAATCTGATGTTTCAGTTTTCAAGAGAAAAACATTCTACATATTTTGCAATAGAAAATTTCATCCGTTGAATAATTCTGTTTTGTTTTATTTAATTATATCATTTATTAAGTTTGTATTTATGTTTGAGTAAAAATATCTGGCACAAAAATATTGAAATAGATGTGAATTCTAGAGGAGGAACGACAGAATCTTTATAGATCAGATTAACTATTTGTTGAAGCTAACAATAAGTCTTGTATGAATTTTTGATCGAAAGTATAAATGTGTGCATTACGAAGAGTCCGAACACTTGTGAACGGTACTGTACGTCCTCTCTGGCTGCACTTTTTCTCTCTCCATTGCGTATCGCTGCAACTCTATCCGTTTCTCTCCCACGGAGTCTTTTTCCGTCGCTCTTTCTCAGTCGCGTATCGCTATTAGCTCCAGTCGTCTCACTTTACGCACATACACTCTCGTTCATAAGTTACCGGATAGTTGATCAAGAGTATAGTCATATAAATAGCGATAAGAATAACCCGAAATCAAATTCGATCTATGAACTTTTTATACTAAATGATTTATAATAATACTCGGCGATTTTAGATACAGATTAATTTTAAAATAAATTATTTGAAAATTATAATAAGCGACGAAGTTTATATAATTGAACGATATGCTATTGTTATTTTCCCGGGAAGCTCCGCGAGTTTTCCGCGAACTCGGTCGCACGCGCGTGCTCGAAATCGCCGCGCGGATTTTCGCGACGCAACGCGTGCGTGACATTGAAGATCAGTAAAAATCGCTGACAGCGTGATATATACAGGATAACTACAGTCACAATGACAAAAGGATTGAAATTCTTGTACAAACGCGAATTCTGTATTAAAAAATTCTGGGCTCGTCTCATGTTTCAGAATCTTAATCTGTCAACGATTGACTGAACGTCGCGAGAATTCGGTGCGGAACAAGTAGCATAATACTTTTGACGATCGTCGGGAGCGGCTTGGGAAACGCGTGGAAACTCGGTACTTGCACTCTCGGTAAATTCACTTTCCGCGCGACCGAATAAATCATGAAAATCTGTTAGGATATATGCGCGGTGCTCGAGCGGTTCTAGTAGCACATATTGCCCTTTTTATGTCGACGGCGGTCGTAGAAAATCGCGCGGAACAGTGCATTAGCCGAGTTGATAAATTTGTTTTCAAAAATAGTTGAGAAGCTTAGTACGAAAATATTTACGATATTCTTATAAAGATTTATCGAGCAAGTTTCTGCTGAAACATCACAGAAAGTTGTACAACCTCTTATTCATAGTCGCAGGTATTACTATTCGTCTAACAAATATTCTTACGATATTTCATTCGTACATTTTACTCGTAAAGAAGGAAATACAGAGGACTAATAGCACATAACTACTCTTACCGCTTTTTACGATCGATCGATTTTTCCCAATCGGGCGTTGCGTTCCATTTGGAATCAAAAGAAAACGCCACAAATTAAATTTCTTCGCTCCACGGGAAACTTGAAAAAACGTGGAGAAGTGAGAAAACTTGCTTCTTACTCCGATTATGAAAAAGTTCACCGGGTTTAACGGGAGAGAGGATATCGGGAAGAAAGGAAGCCGCAGATTTGTTACGGTTTGTCGAACGTGCCTCCTCTTCTTCCATACATTCGTGACTATGAAACCAGACCAAAAGTTTGCAATAGAAACATACGTATCGTAATGCAAATTAAATTAGATTTCCCAAGCTTAATTAGATATGTTTATAGCGTTAATGGCAAGTGGTGGTTTCTCAGTTCTATACGTCCCATCGTACTTGCAATTCTATAAAATGTGCATTGCATTTCATTATTACGAACATGCATATAATAATTTGTATATTTTCATTCTCAATTTCAATGCATATTTGATCGTAATATTAATTAATTAAAAAATCATCAACTGACAACAAGCTGTTCATTTAAATTATTGCTAAAGCAGTCCGACAGAAAAGCGTACAATTCAAAATTGATATTACTCAGACTCGTGTTCCTCGGGAATCAGCTGTACATGTGTTATGTACTTAGGTATGCAATGCGCATTAATAGATTCAGGCACAGAGTTGTATCAAAGGATCAGCTGTTGGCTCGTACGCTGTTACCGTTGGGCATAAATCATGCGTTTCGCGGACGCGCGTTCGAATTCAACGGTTGCGTTTTCTGTAAACGCAAAAATAGCGTCGCTCCGTTACGAAAGAGGCCACGTCGTTTTTTTTGTATATTTTACGGACTGATTAATACGCGAAAGTATCCCGTTCAGGTCGTTAACCATTGACAAGTTAGAGAAATGCAAAGGTGACACGTAGATGACATTGAATAAAAGGTACAAATGTGAGATGATCTTTTATTGACGATTCGTTTCAATCGGTGTGACTAAAACTAGTTCACGCATCGATTAAATAATGTATCGATAGAACATTCTACGATTCTTCATTTCTAATTAATTATACAGACAATTGCACAACCTCTAAAAATAGAAGAATTCAAATACGTTTGCATTGGAAATCTATTATAGCACAGTCTGTTAACGCCCGGATTGTAAAACAACATACGACGGCGCCGCGATTAAATTCCAGCGAAGTATTTTTAATTAACTGCGTTCGATAGATGTTCGATAAGATAAAATCGAATTGTTTCCGCGGCGCTCAGGAATCACCGTGAGAGCGGGCCAGAGAAATTTGCATACACGTGCCACGGTTCACCCGATTCGCAGCATTAATCTCGAATGAGCGTGCAAAATTATTGCCGAATAACCGGGAGAAAAAAAGTGAGGCACGGAGGGGTTCGATAAGATTATCTTCGTTTCAAGAAATTGCTCGTTTCATAATTAAAAAATCGAGTACACTCTCTCTCTCATAAAAGTTTATCGATGATTTCTCTTAATAAATTCAGTTTTTATCAGGAGCCAAAGGATATACATTGTGCAATTAATAATCCGTGTATGACAGATTTTTATTAATGACATTTGTTTCGTCTTCCATTATTCATACTTCAGATTTCATAAAAGCATTTTTCTTAAGGATGTATTGGCTATACAGTCAATACCAAAAGTTTATGAACCTTAGAAAAACGCATTTCCTATAATTAAAAATAGTGCACACTTCTTCTAATTTCGATATTTAATGAGTTACATATGATTATTTGGCATTTTATTGATGTTGACAAAATCCGACCATCCCAGCGTCGAAACGGCGAACTTTTGGAAAAAAATTTCGTTTTTCCTCAATAACTCCTAAACTGCTGGTCCTACGAGAAAATTGCATAGGACCTTTCTTGTAGAGGACGACGAGATCTACAATTTCTGTATAAAAGTTTTCCTCTAGCGTCAATAGTTTACGAGTTATTTACGAAAAACGAAAAAACAGTTTTTTGTAAATAACTCGTAAACTATCGATG